AATTACAGGAACTGGTTCTGTTTTTACAGCTCAACAGGTGTTAGAATTTAATTATGATGTCCTTGAGTCCGAGACAAATTTCCAGAAGACTTTCTTCTTTCCTTTACTGACATTTCCTATCTACTGCTTTTATAGCCCTTCTGGGATTAACATTGAATAGGCATGCAGCAGTCTTTTGTAATATTGTATTTTTGCCTCAGTTCTCAGGATGTTTAATGCAGAATTCTTTGGGGAAAGGAATACAAGTCTACTACAAAAGAGGAGCAATAACATCTTTAGCAGATTGGGACAGAGCTGCAGACTATGCAAGTTTTGGATAGCAAGGCCCCAGCCTTGGCCCAGAACAAGAAAGTTCACGCTGGGAGATAGCCCAAGCTTCCACAGATGGTCTGTTTTCTATAGAAATAACTTCAGGAAAGCCCAAACATGGATATTCGTTTTTCAATACAAAAGCATTTTCCTAATTGAGAATCAACCAAGATTTCCCAGTCACACTTCAGTGGAAATATCACAACTAGCAATCCCAAACTAGCCTTTAGGGAAAAGCAGCAGATACAAAGCAAATACCCTTTCAGGGTATATAATCCTCACTGGTACTCTTCAGAACTTGGTAATTTCGGATCCAAGAACAAGTGAGAGGTCTGTCTCCCAATCTGTGAAACTCCTGACAAACCATCTTTCTTCTTCAGTAAGCTAAAACCCTAACTTTTCCATACCCAGGATGGCTCATAATATATATAGAAAATACATTGTGTCAATTGTTCAGTCTTTAATTATAAAACTAAGAAACTACGTCAAGCTCCCAGGAGAAAGTACTCGCACTATTTCCAGTCTTCTTGCCATAGCAGTTAAGGCAAAACCACAGCAAAACACCTCGCAGTCAACCCTGCCAAAGGATCATCATATAAAGTTCCCTTTACATGGGAAAAAAAGGTTTTCAGCAGACTTACAGCCTGTACATGAAACAAGCAGAAAATATGCTGAATGACTTCTCATTAGCAGCAGAACTTAAGTTCAAGTACATGTAAGTGAAGACAAGCCAATTCTGGCAACTCTAAGAGTGCTTCTTCAAAAACATGTTTTCAAAAAACCCTTTCCATCCCTGCCCCCTCCCTTAATGTTTTTTTGGGGGAACATTCTCAGCACTGTGATACTGTTCATAAATACTATTTCAAAATGTTCTGAAGGTAAACTTCCTGCTGTTAAATTTGTTACTACACAGTTCATCATCTGTAAAACATATAGAAGGGAGAGCACAAATTTCCACAAGCCAAATTTCTTTTCGTTTGCAATAGAAAATGGGTAGCTTAATAAAATTTTCAGAACCAGAAACGTAACTCTTTTCAGAAAATATTTATTCTAAGGTATACCACGGAATGAACAGGAATACTCTGAACTGTCTGGAACACGATACTCAGTATATAAACTGGGGGAAGTTGTCTGGGAGGCACCAGTGTCTGCTCTGGAACGGCCCAGCCATCAGTCAGCAGGTGGCCAGTGATGGTATTGTGCATCATTTGTCTTTGGTTTTATTTCTATTATCTAAATTTTCATTTGCAATTATTGTATTTGATTTCAGTTATTAAACTGCTCTGATGACTAACCCACAGGTTTTTACATTTTTTCCAATTCTCCTCCCCATACCACCAAAGGGGGAAGAATGAATAAGCAGCTGCATGGTACTTAGTTTTCAGCAGGTGTTAAACCACAACACACACTTAAAGAGTTTAAGTCTCCAATGTTTCTTTTAGGACTCTGGTATCTGCAACATCCCTCCACTGTGACTGAAACAGCTAATGCTCATTGCCTATTTTGTCAAGGTAAGTATACCAATTTAATGCTAACTGTATATTCTTCCTCTTCAATGATCTTAAGATTATTTAGTATGTTTCAAACAACTTACCAAGTCCAAAATAAGGTCTAAGCATTTATTTCAGTACATTCACCTCTAGCTGCTTTCCACACGTATAAAATAACCCAACTTTATTTTTTAATCCTCACTTGCAACCATAAAACTGGTACCATCATTGGTGGGACAGTGTTTCTTCAGTTACCGAGAACTCCAATCATAGGGGAAAAAAAAGTACTGGTTACTGGTCTGGTGAGAATACTGAAGTACGAAGTGTAGCTCAGGGGTGCCCCAAAGCACACATCAGTACTTCAGATTTTTACCTCCAACATAGCTCAATTAAACAGTAAAGCTGGCCTAGCACTGAGGCCTTAACTGGACTCCACTTAGTACTGTTTTCATGCATGCTAGAGCTGAAAGCAACATCAGCTTCTAACAGGAAAAAAGAAAGCTTTTACTTCAGTCCACTGCCAATCCTGCACTCTCCACAGTTACTGACATGCCCATTACTTCATATATTTTACAGCCCACAACATTCATGTTTCACATTTTTAAATGAAGATTGGTTGTAACTGCCAAGTAGTATTCAAATACGAATTAAAATCTCCTCAGGAAATTCCCAAACTGCTAGAAAGGCTCTCTATATTTCTCCTGTTTCTTATACTGGTCATCCTCAGACAGAATACTGAGCGAGGCAGACTTTCTCCCACTCAATACAGCCATTCTTCTGAGCATCAAACACCACTTTGTCCTCTGGAGCCTGCAGGAAGTTTGAGACAATGGCAGAGAGAAGTACTGTCTTCATAGCCCTCACAGCTCAACTGGACTATCAACTATAAAGGCACATGACATGAAAGAAAATGGAATTCCTAATTTTAATTTTGCTTTTCCAGTTTATATTCTCTGACGGAAACAGAGAAGGGCAGACAAAGTGCTTGTAATACCTGTTCTAACAAAAAGGAGAGAGAATGTAAATCACTGGACATACACATCTACATAGCATGCAAAGGCCTACCTCTGTACTCCACTCACCTTAAATTACAATTTGTCTGTTAAATTCTCTCATACTCCAGATGACAACTCAAAATTTGTCCTCTGAACTGTGGAGGGAGCATACAGAAAAACTACTGACCCAGTGTCAGGGTGGTAAACACTCTGCAATATATAGAATACCTTTCCTTGGGCAAAGTCTAACACTGCTTGCTCTGCTGTGTCCATGTTTGACTGTCAGAGTCTTACTCTCTACCAACTGCTACTTCAGTGCCTGTTTTTAATTGTCAACTCATACCCAAGCTTTATGTGGCAAGTTTACACAATTAAGAGCTGGTCTGCACCAGAAGGCAGCAACCCCAAAGCCAGCACACACCATCTGTGGCTAAGGCAGCACGTAATTGCTGCTCACTAGGATCAGTTATTTCTGGCAGGCTCCACAGTAGCCAGTGTACCCACATAGCAGCAAGACTGCTGTGGCAAGATAGCAGCTAGCTTAGTTTCGCTCACTTGCAACTGTTTATGGATCTACAGCCTCCACCGGCAAGACAGGTTCTTCAACAACGCACAAAACCTCCCACCTTAACAGTGACCTCACTACTTAAATTGAAGCAAGGCATTTATGCAGAATTACTCTTGTATCTTCCCTGTGGTTGCAAGGTCCTCGATTTCAAACCCACCACTCATTTAACTCAAAAAAAGGCTCTGTATTTTTTTGCCCATTAACCAGGACTGGCACATGGCAATAATCCAGAACAAAGTTTGTCTAGCCATTGATTTCTTGGACCACAGCCCAACAGCCATGTGACACTTGAAGCTCAACAGTAATGACAGCTAGTTCAAGACTTCCCCAGACTATTTAAAGCACAAAAAAGCAAAGTGCTTTCATGCAGTTTACTATATAATCGTAACTGAGAGCTTTAGATCTAGCAAGCTGTTTTGTAAAACTGAAGTTCAAGGATTTTTGCAGAGACATCTCATGCCACATGTTCCAAACCTGTCACACTAATTCTTCACAACTACATCCCCTATCTCCATCACTTGTGTAAAACATCTTTACTAGACTCAAAAGCATGCCAGAACTAAATATGCAAGTGGTCTGCAAAAATATCCCTCTCCTGCCAAGCAAAAAAACCATTACAAGTATTACTCTTTCCATCTTAGTTATAAAAATTGTTTCTGCACAATTTTCACTGGTCCTATATTCCAAAGTCTCTGGAGTATAGCATTATAGTTAAAACATTTGTTCATTTTTGTAAACATCACACTAGTATTTTTCATTGGTTACCCATCTTTTGCAGGCCTAAAGCACAAGAACATTCATAAACAGTGAGTCTGCAGCTAAACAGCCAATACGTCTTGCCACTGGCCACATCTACCTTTCCCTATGCTGAGGTGTATCTTTTAAATGATTAAACACCGCTTCTGGAGACAAGCCTCCACTGCCTGGTATGTACAGTAACTTTCTCTGGCACCTTTCATCTAATACCACCAGAGACCATTCCCAAAGTATGTTTTAGAACACACAGAACATGACCGATCTGAAGTACTTTGAGTACTGTTACTGCCACCTACATCCCGGACATTTTCTCTTATTTTACACTAGAAATCACAGTAATTGTCTCAGATCTACACATACCAATACCTCAAAAATTTCTACATTTCATATTGGCATCACTCCAAAGGATAAAAATACAGTACCTGAACATGCCAGAACACTCTTCTAGCCCCTGTAACTTAAGTCATACGCAGGTCTTTTCAAGCATCTACCAAAGTACTTAACAAGCATCACTGCTGTATCACCCGTATCTCTGGTCTTTAGCATCTTTCCTCCACAAGAGGCTGACCTAGCTAGGACCAGCAACTGTTTTGACTTACCATTCATGGAGCTTCATTAGATCTTGTCAACAGCACTCAGACTTTTCACAGAAAAAGTGCAGTGGGCAAGAGATAGAGACCAGTCCTGTCCCACTTCTAAAGTGCATAATCATTAATGGTATTTATGTTGTCCAGGAGTCACTCAAGTACAATGTGGCTTATCACATGTCCAGCATGTGCTGTACCAGTCAGAGCAACATGGCCATGTTGCCTTTGTAGCTCTTACAAAGCACAAGTTGTCAAGGAACACCATGGTGCAACTACAGACCTGATGTGCAACAGCTAGGTTTTCCACATCCTCATCTTTATTCAAGAAATAGCATGTACAAAACATAGCACATAGAAATATCTACCCTTCTCAATAGCATGTTCACAAAATAATAAATCCCACTGAAGGGAAAGCTGCTCTGTAGCTTTCTGAAGGTTCCAGCACACTGTGATTTACACAGCCACTTGCTGAAAAGGTGCAGCCTTTAGGCAAAGTCACTGGTTTCTGCTTGTTAGCAATAACCACAGCACAGGAGGTGCTCAGTTAGCCAACACATTCCCGGAGCTCAGACATATCCCTAGCATACATTTTAGTAGTTACATGGATACTTATTTCTGATATTCCCTATGCTTTAGGTGCCCCTACTGGTAATGTTCTGCTCTTCATGATACTGCCTAGACGGAAAATTAGGCTTTTCATGGGATTTGTCACTTAGATACAAGCACATGCCATGAGTATAGGAATTCCTCCAATTCTCAAGGGAGAGCAGTGCTGACATCCAGTGCACTCATTCTTGACTGCAGCCTATAAGGTAGTTTTATTTTGCTGCATTTTGAAATGATTCAGTTACTGTAGCTCTATCAATTTTTACGTATCCTGTCACTATCTCATTTCTTCCTTTATAAAGGATTTCTGATAAATCAGGTTTGAGTCATGCTTTAAGACAGATTACATTTTATGTACATAATGATTTGTCTCTAAAATCCAGTTTACTCTGTGACCAATTTACAATCCCTCAGTCTTCTGTGGAAGAGGGCCGATTTGCTGAATACACCAAATATGCTGCTACTGGAATACAGCCCCACTAGTTTTCAAGTGGCTGCTCAAAGCATGAGCTCCAATGTGTGTGCCCCGTTCTCCCACTGCTGACCTCTTTTCCACACAAAGCTAACATTGGCAGTATGCTTCTTGAAGGGCAGTTCCACTGTTGTGGTACTGGTTTTTTCATGCTGTAATGGCATAAATTTCCCTCTCCCCCACTAGACAGACTGCAACCCAAGCCTTGGACCTTACCTTTTCTGTAACCACACATTTCTCATGATACCTGTATATACTTCTTGCAAGTGTTTCATGTTTATGCTTCCATGCCACATCCACCTCATCTACTTCATCCCACCTCCTGCATGACCCCACCCTCAAAAAGCAGGCTCACTGGTTTGAATTTGAGTACCCATTTTGCTTTCTCCCTGTCTTTACAGGGCCTACCTGTGAGTTCCATTGTTTTATTACAGATCTTCAGTATCAGCAACTCTGCAGACCCTTATGATATTTTAAAAGGGCTAAATACCCTGAGGGGTTTTTTCACCTATTGAAGCTCAACACTGATTTCCCTAATATTGCTGCTATTCTCCCTACAGAGGGCAGCTCAATGTTTTGGAAAAAAGCACTGTTTTAAATATGCAGAGTGTGTGATTTTGGTTAACATGCAGCTTCTAAGAACAGTATCCACTAAACAAAACTTCAGCAGGCTTTTAAAAGCACAGCATCGCACTCCAAGCCAAAAAAAAACTCTTCCGGTGTTAACTCTTCCTTCCAGTTACAGATCATCCACATTTGTCAGGCAGCACTGGCAAAGTGTTCCAACTCATCACTGGAAAAAGAGAACAAGGCTCATTTGAGGGAGAAATTGCACTTTGCAAGTAAGACACAACACTATACATCAAGGTGTTACCATTTCTGTAAAAAAAAAACTAAAATCTCATAGAAGTTATAACACTTCTCAAAACCTTTTGGTTCTCATCTCAGAATCCGGATCCGTATTTGTTTTTTTCAGCAAAGAAATCAGGTTCGGGATAGGATCATCACAGATGAGACACAATCAATACAGAAAATGTAAATTTAATTAAACATTCTCCAGTCCTTTGATATATTTCAGTAATAATATACACTTAAAACCTTGCACGTATGTTTGAAAGCTAACCAAGGTTAGACACAGCTATCAGCACACACTGTGCCTTGGGGAAAAAGTGTTCTTAAATTCCAGTTATGTACAGAATTACTATACCAGTTTAACATATCAATTGATCAAATGTATTAAGAACTGTCATAATACAAAGAATTCCCTGAACTGCTAGAAGTTTAGACTTAAAATGAGAAAACATTATGAAGCTTTTCAACTACATACCTTAATAAGCTAAAAGCATTTGTTCCTACATTTTTGATAATTTTCCTCTAAAAAGAAAAAAAAAAAGACATTTATTAGTTCAGAAAAAATTCCTTCCATCTCTCAGAATACAACTTGCCATCTATTTAATCTCTCATACAGGTCATACTGCATTAATAAACATGTGCTGGACTAGTATCAGTATTCAGCACCTTTTGTGAAACTTGCAAGTGTAGTCATGCCACAGTATTTTTCCTCTCTTGGCAAGCTATTGATCAAATTTGCTATGAACTATGATAGGCAACTAGGCAATCAAGTATAATTCCCCTTTCCTATAAGAATCACAAAGTTCATTTCTGAAAATTTGTTAATACCAGGTTCTTAACATCTATCAAAGCATTAAAAACTCCAAAAGTTAAAACCAACCAACAAGCAGGCATTAAGTGAAAACCCCTGCATTCAGGCAACATTCTTCTACATACAACTCCTGCAAGCAACAGAACTTTGTACTCCCATATAAAGCTTTTAAAATAATCCACATTTATTGGAATTCAAGAGTTGCTACTTCCAGTTTTCCAATTACATCAGCCATGTAAGTCACTCCACTTCCTACTTGTAATATTGCCTGTCTAAACCATACAGCATTTTATATGTAGCACTGCTTCACAGGAAGTTTCACTTGCACATTTGAATTTTGCATACTGGACAAAGTCCTTCAAAAGAATAAAATTACAGATGTTGCAGTAAGTCAGGAAAATTAGAACTTGTCCTCACATTTTAGATTTTTAACATCTTAACTAAAAAGAATCTGTGGATACTCAAGACCCAGTGCAGTTAAGTGAGTTTCATTGAAGAAAAAGATTAAATTCAGATCTTTAGGTAAGAATGAAGTCCTTGAGAAAGCCACTAGGAGCACTCGATGCACAGTAAGCATTCACCAACATGCTTTTTGCCTGCTGCAAGCATGTTATCTAGCCCTTTTGAATTAGTTTAGCTCTGAAGATGTAACAACTTGAATATAATTACAATTCATTACAATTCACCACCGAATTCCACCTTTAATCATTAACATTACTTTTTCTAAATGCTCACATCTAAGTGAGTCTCTAGTTAAAAGTCTCTAAGAGGGTCAAAATGCAAACGTCATCACTATCTTTCAAACACCAGCACAACAGTTCCTTACTAGGGCGCTTTTAATACTCAGCTAAGGTTTATTTACCCACTAAGACATGATACCTCAAAATTACAGGGGTCTAGCATTTCCTCCTCTCCTATTTAAAGGCATTAGCTTTTGCAATAACAGATACCCATGTCAACATGGACCCAAGGCAAGTTTAAATAATGCACCAACATCCTTATTCACAACTTGGAGCATGGTAGCATCCAGGCTATCCACAGGGATAGCAGCAAAAGTAACACTGAGATAATGACTGAAAGATTAAGTGACTTTTGAAAGAATTAAGTGGTTTCATCTCAGTAGCCAGATCCATACAAAATTTCTCATCAGCGTATCAGGTTTGGCAGTTTCATCATGATTCACCACTTAAATACTGGGAATTGTAACATAAGTCATACATTCCACAAAATAAATTGTGTCTTCCATATGTAGATGAACTGAAAAGGGACATTACCAGTTACAAAAATTTTCAGCTCCTTTATCAATGTTACCTCTTTATCTGTTGCACTACAGTTATCAGGAAATCTTTCATCATGACACCTGACATTCCCACTGTTAGAAACTGCTCACAACATTGAGTAAAATAATTACAATATATTCATGCATAGCATAGTACAACCCATTAGGAACAACCAAATTTTACTCTTGTGGATCTTACTTCCTCCCAGCTATTGGCTGTAAGCTTTGGAGTCAAATTAAACTGAATGCAGATCCTGAAGTTATTTCCTGGCATCTCCAGAAAGTGAGAATATCAACTATCATTGGAACCACATTTGCCTGTATATATTAACAGGTCTCTAGATGTCCCCTTTGTTCTCTTTCTCCTAAGCACTTTCTTAAACTGATGTCCCGATAAAGCTCAAATTAACATTTAAGAGCCATCCTGAGGTAATCTTTGTCAGATTTAGTATGAACACTCTGGACAGGCTTATTTCACCAGCTCTTCTGACAACGACCCAAATACACTGTACACCAGCTCCCTAGCCTACACATTTCTAGACCAAGTATGCCTGAAACACAATGCCACCTCAACTGTAAAGCTGACGACACACCTAATTTGATCATATGTGAATTTTACTCATCTATTTATCATACTAATTTATCCCCACTAGTCATTCAAAACATACATAGCTTTCAAGAAAATCCACTTGTGTGTAACTATTGTGCTACTCCTGATAGTGCTTCCATGAAGGACTGAAACTGGAATTAAACAAAAATTACCTGTTAAAGTTGAAAATGTGCCTTACTGCGGTCTAGCATAATCTCATATTACTATGTCAGAAGAATAATCACCAAGTACTAAAAATCCAATTTTTCACCCAGCAATTTAATACTTCAAGATGAAATTTTTTATGCACTAGGAAAAAAAAAAAAAGTACCCTGACTTGGGTTTTGGATCCTTTTGCAATCATTACAAGGTCTGAGGAATGAAGGTATTTAAGCTTCTATTTCAAAAATATTTATGAGTGGCACATATTCACAATGCAATACCACTGCCTTTAAATAGTCTGCACGATCATTAACTCAATAATTACATTCAAATATGATAATGTATGCAGATTTACTCCAACACATGCCCAAGGCCAGACAGCTAACCTGCACCACCTCCAAGATCAGTATAATTTAGCACAAGTTAACCGAGTGATTTATCATGTAGATCTTCATGCTTATGCCATAGCAAAAGAAATGAAACTAAGAACAACTGACCTAAGGGCTCACTTTAGCTCAGTGAAGAGCACAGAAAAAAACATCAAATAATTACTCCTCGGTTTAATGGAGGCTAGCAAAACACAGCATACTCTTAACCAGTTTTCCTTTTGTCCCAAGCAGTAGCAATAAAAAGATAACCCTCTAGCATTTAACACATACTTTTGAGACACAAAAATACAGAAATCAAGTGAGAAATTAAAGCATTTGTTATTTTTATCAACAACAGAAATGTGGTGTTACTTCCAGATCAATAAAATTAAAAACTCCAGAGCCATTACCTTAATGCTTCTACACTGGACACCACTGAAAACTGCTCCATCATACCTAAAAACAAACAACACCTGAAATGAGTATATTCTTAATCACCAGACCACTAAGTTACATACATTGAGACAATCATCAACAATCTCTCAAGTCTCAGAAGCAATAATGTTGTCTTAATTTTCAGCAGGCCTTTTAGAAAACAACATGAAGCCAGTTTCAAGTAACAACGGAGTTATGAGCCACATCCACTTGAAATCCCATGTTTAAAGTACTGTAGAAATAGCTGCATGTGCTATTATACTTCAGTCCGAAGGATTTTTAATAATTCATAATCTCAAGGTTTCAGTCCTTTATGTACTGATTTCAACTGATTTAGCGAATTCAGTTTTCAACACATAGCAAATATTTAAATCTACCAACTTAACCAGTCAAAGAAAACATAGGAGAAAGTATTTGTCATATTCTATACTTAATATACACACATTCCAATAATGTTTCTCTATCTGCACTACATAAATCAAATAGATATATCCACCATTAAAAAATAACCTATTAAACATGTTTTGCTTCAGATTACAAAACAAATTTAAGCCATGGAAAATCTCAAGCTTGCTTATTACACCCAATAACCAAGCATTACACCAATGGCTTTTAAAAATTGATTTAGAAATTTTACTGTTCAGTAACCTAAGATGTGACTCGGGCTATCATTAGAGAAGCCAATTCTACACAGAATGAATGTGCCCCACGCCTTCCTACACGAATGCACCCATTTCCTAATCTTTGTTTGCAGATAAGAGCCTAGGATCCTACCAGTATTTTCTTATTGCATTTCTTGTTCTTCGAGAAGTACTAAGGCTCAGTGACATCAGCAACTCCACTTTACTCACTAGAACGCCTCATGCCCATGGTGACGTTTGGGTCGATTTCATTCCTCAGCGTCAGCGAGTATTTTAAGTGTGAACTCAAATGGCAAGGGAGTGAAAAGAAAGGCAGCACCACCCAGGCAAGAGGCTGCTCCCGACCCCAGCCGATGCCGCCTGCAAGCAGTATTTCTCATATCATCAGCCCCTCAGGGCACCCGAAACGCCCCCGCCGCCGGCCGAGCCTTCAAGCGATCAAAATGGCGCAGGCCAGTCGCGCCTCGTCGGGCGCCGCCCTCTTCAGGGCAAGATGGTGCCCGCCGCCCCCGCTGGCCCCTGCCGCGAACTACCGGCCCCAGCGTGCCCCGCGCCGCAGGACACCGCTTCCTGCAAGGGAAACCGGCCACGCTACGCTACCATCTCCCTCTCCGCGGAGGCGCGCGGTGTGCTGGAACACGTAGTGCACCCCTGCATCCACGCTCCTCCGCGACGGCGGCAGCAGCGAGGAGCCATACACCGCGGTGCGGCCCTGCCGCTAGCCTTTACCTAGCCGCGCCCGGGGCTCCAATGTGCGCGCCTAGCCCGGTAGCTCCAGCCTCAAGCACTAGGCAAGCGGCGCCCCGGGCAGGCCTCCCCAGCAGCCCAGCATAAAAGAGAAGCGCAGCCACCCCGCAGCCCCACTCGGGAAGCGGCGCACACCACAGCCCCAACCACCACTCTGGAATCCCCTCACCCACCACCACAGCCGCTCCGCAGGGAAAGAGGGGGCGACGGGCCGATCACAGCCTTTATATCTGCTCTGCAGGGTGGGAACGAGGCTGGCTCCGCCTTCCCTCCCTGCGAGTCGAGGGGCGGGGCGGATCGCGCCCGGGGCTGGACTTCCTGTGTGCCGGTGCGGGCGCGCGCGGGTGAGGTAGTGTTCCGTCTTACAGTCTGTTAGGGGCTTCGTGGCTGTGGCCAGCTGAGCGGGAGGGCAATGTCACCGCCCGGGCTGGGCGGGAGGCTGCCGTCGGCTTGGCTGCGCGTCCTCCGAGGAGCCTGGAACACGGGGCGGAGGAGAGAGAGCGGCTGCCCACGGTCTCTGGTGATGGCGTGCCCTGAGAGGGACGGACAGAACGAGTGCTCGTGTCCGGGCTTTGGTCCCGGTGCTGCTTGTGCATTTTGTATTACAAAGGTTTTGCACAAAGCGCAGAGCTGGCAAATGAAGGCAGGAACCTGACGCAGCTTCGCCTCCCAGGCAGATCAAATGCTTTTCACTGAGTGCTTGTTTCTTCTATGTCCTGTTACTGTTCTCTAGGGCTTCAAGTAGTTAACCTATATTTTTTCCTGAATGCCTCAGCTTTCCTTCGTCTCTAATTAGATGTTTCTGAAACCTTAACCACAAGCACACCCTTTTCCTTTTTGGAAACAGCACACAACGCTTTATATTTGTATAGCAAGACATCAGGGCTGAAAAATCTCCTATTACCCACAACAGTCAGAAAAGCAGTTTTTCACTCTAGAAAGTGTAAGAATGCTGTTCCACGGTGAGCCAAAGAGAGGGCTCCCCCAGTACCAGTTGTTAACTTCCAACGTTAGCCACTGGAAGTTGCACATCAGTCAGAAAGCAGCTCAGTCTCCAGATGAACCAGCCTCCTGTACTACTGTGGGAGCCCTGGTGAAAGAAGTGCGAGCAGGCATTGGGATACAGTGGCCATAGCAGGAGTGCTGCAGCTTAGGTGGTGTTTAAAGCGACATGAAACCATATCCCAACTTCTTATTAATGGAGGTCCTCATTAATCGTTTGTAAGAAGTTAACTTTTTTTTTGGTCTGCCTGTTTATTGAGAGGCTTAGTGTATCAACTTAGTTGAGGAAGCCAGGAAAACCAATGAACAAAACCAGGGAGCTTCTGAATTTAGCTCCCTGCAAGGCTGCGCATTCCCACACAGTATACACACTGGTGGTGGGCTGTGAGGATGGAGGCACGGACCCAGAGGTAGAGTGCAAGCTGGATCGTTTATTGAACAGATTACATGATATTTATATGCTTCCAAGCAATTAGCAAAGCACATCTGTGTTTGCCTTGCGGTTACATCAGGTGAAAGGTCTATCTGATTTTCTTATTGACATCCTCTTTCCAGTTCCGACGTCCTTGTTCCTTGCCAGTTCCAACATCTTCCAAGTACCAGTCAGGGACAGGTCACTCTTAATTGCCTACTGTAGTTCTTCCTTCTCATGGTCACTCTTAATTGCCTACTGTAGTTCTTCCTTCTCATGGTCACTCTTAATTGCCAGCTGTAGTTTCTCCTTCCCATGGTCTCTGACAGCTTTGATACATTCCAACCCCCACAATTCCCCCTTCTTGTTTTTGCAATGCAGTATACACATGTCTTTCAAAATCTTAGGATAACATTCACTGCATACATTGTAATAAACAAGGTACAACACATATAATGGCAAAGAGAGCAAGCAAAAAGATCATTCCTCCCTTAACCAAAGTCAATAGCCACCCAGTTATACCCCAATTAGAGAAAAGTGATGATAACCAATCTTTATCATCCTCCCTTAGCTTCATTACACTTTTACGGATACTTTCATGTATGGATTCTGAATGGTCTGACAAATTCATGCAACACATTCCTTCCAAAATTTCACACCCATGTCCATGTGCTAAGAGGAGAAAATCGATTGCTGCTCTATTTTGCAAAGTTGCATGTCTTATAGAGTCAACATCAGTGAGCAACGCAGAGAGAGTGGATGCTGTAGCATTAGTTTGTTTAGCAAGCCAACATCCTAACTTATTCAAGTTGCCAAAGCCTGAGCGCTAGCTACTCCGGGAGCTAAAAATGAAGCAGCTATTATTTCACCTGGGTTCCAAAAATATACTTTGTCATCGCAGCTCGGTTGAAAAGCATGCTTTGACCTTCGAGAACGCAATCCTCGTTTATTTATTATCATAGTGTTATTAGGGATAAACATGCCTAAGGTCCCTACTGCACACGGGCCATCCTTTATATGGGATAGCACCCTTTGCCAGGCCCGATCGTGTGGCAGCTGAGGCATGGACTCTGTTTCTGGCTACAAACAAAATCCCTTATTGAGTGAGCTTACAGGATTTTATAGTATTCTGTTTAGCGGTTAGTAGCAGTTAGTTCTTTTGGTACCTTTCCATCACAAAACAATCTTATCGATCATGCACTCTTTCAGCCAATCACATTACTGTCCACACACCTTTGCGTGAGTAATTATTTCTAAACATAGTTCTCTGCTATCACTACTCATTACAATCCTCTTGACTACACATTCTTTATCTTGTCTTAAGCATCCTCCTGTTTCCAAATTTACAGTCCTCAGAAATTATCTTGATCTTTCTTCGGTTCCACCCGATGTTCTTTCTCCACTTCTTTCCGACTTGTCCCGTTCACTTCTCCCAAGGTTTGTGGCTGATAAGAGTCCAGATGTCCAGGCTCTCATCCAGCTCTACTGGCACAGCTTCTTGTGCAGCATTCCCCTCATCTCCCCCTTCTTTATAAACTAACGAAACATTGTTAATAGATTTAGTGAACAAACGATTTATACAAGCAATTAAACAAGGAAGCTTGATTAAAATACACAGAGATTTTTACATAGGTTAATGCGATATTAATAATGTTTTTCAAGCATGCACTGATGCCCTATTCTGACAGCAAACTTTCCAGCCAATTCCAGCTACTCTCCACTCACAACTTCTGAACTCCGTCCTTTAGGTTTTGAATTACATCATGGACAGACTCAGAATGACTAGACAGGTTCACGTAACACATTCTATCAGTCTTTACAACCATGTCCTTGAGATAATAGCAAAAAATCTATGGCAGCTCTGTTTTGAAGGGTAGCGTGTTTGACTGAATCGTTATCTGTTAAGAGACCATGGCTGTGGGTGAAAAATCTCCGGGGCAGAGGCTGGGTTTCGTCCTGCCTCTCACCGGGAGGAGTGGACCCCGCGCCTCCCCGCAGCGCGCATCTCGGCGGGCGCAGCGCGTCCCCGCGCCTGCCGGAGCGCACAAAGGCGAGGGGCGGGCGAGCATCAGAGCCCTCTGCCCGCGGGCAGGCAATGGGGAGAGCCCGCCGGAGCCTGCTGCTGCCGCCGCCGGGCGAGTGAGTGAGGTCGCGGCATCAGGGAGGTGGAGGCGGCGCGCCCGTGCTCCGCAGCTCCTTATCCCACCGCTGCCACCAGGTGCAGCCCCTCGGTCGGAGGGGAGCCCCCGCCGCAGCCTCCGTTCGGCTCCCGCGGGAGCGCCGTTTTCCTCCCCGCCGTCCAGCCCGCGGTTCGCCTCGTGACGGACGGGACGTGGAGCATTCAGGTTGTGGGGCAGGCTCACAGCACCTTGATTTTCCGCTTCTTTTTTAATGTTTTTCCACATATCATGCGGGTCAGGGAGGTAGAGGTGGAGTTCTCTGTCAGGGTCGATTACTCTGGGCTCAAAAGGGTCATCTTTGCCTGGCTCATTTGCTGTTGCAGCCTGTAGGCAGATATCTTCCCACAGATCGATAAGCACCGGCAAAGCTTGTGTCTCATGACAGCCAATGCCAGGATCAGGCGGGAATAGATCTGGCTCAGTTTCTGGGACTACTGGTCCCGGGTGTAGAGGATCCGGAGTGTTCCCATAGACTGAGTGCCGTATGGCCAGCAATTTGGGGGCCACTGCGTCATCCTTTGTGGTTGCGTCCCAAAGGTAGACCCCAGTCTTGTCCCATACTCCCTTTTGATAAATATTAGTTGATGTCGCCTCTGGGGCATGGGCCGAGCCCCATATTAATAAGTCTTTCAGTTTACCTTCATTTACAGTAACCCCCTTCTTTCCTAGGAATTTTACTGGTACTCTGTACACAGATTTGTCCTCGGGGTATACTGAGTTTCCCATGTTCCCGTTCCCAGCCGCTTACCTCAGTCAGAGGTATCGGTTAATTGCTGCAGCCTTTCAGAGTTCGGCTGGGCTCCTCACCGGTAGCCAAGTCACGGCTCTGTCTTGTCCCTGTTCGGGCGCCATTTGTGAGGATGGAGGCACGGACCCAGAGGTAGAGTGCAAGCTGGATCGTTTATTGAACAGATTACATGATATTTATATGCTTCCAAGCAATTAGCAAAGCACATCTGTGTTTGCCTTGCGGTTACATCAGGTGAAAGGTCTATCTGATTTTCTTATTGACATCCTCTTTCCAGTTCTGATGTCCTTGTTCCTTGCCAGTTCCAACATCTTCCAAGTACCAGTCAGGGACAGGTCACTCTTAATTGCCTACTGTAGTTCTTCCTTCTCATGGTCACTCTTAATTGCCAGCTGTAGTTTCTCCTTCCCATGGCCTCTGACAGCTTTGGTACATTCCAACCCCCACAGTAGGCAGTGCTGGTTATAATGGGTGATTGCCTCTTTTGAGGACCACACAAAAGTGTGCCTGCCTGAAAAGCTCAAAAAGTCTTTGGTGGTTTTACACTTTGTTAAAGAATGCTACAGAAAATGATGGACCACAAGATGGATTCTCAAAAGGAGAGTCTAACTGCTGGGAGCAGATAAGGAAAGTCTGGAAAAGTGACTTGTAAATTGTTACAATATCTGGCAATTTTATTCTTTAAATTACTGAGATTACTACTACCAGGAAAACTAAATATTTGATAAATATTAAGCCAGTTTTCTTTGGCAGCCCATGGCAGAGGATGTCACTCATTTTCTCTCTGCTTTTCTTCTTCTGCATCCACTTTATCTGTCTGAAATGTTCCCCTTGAATGCAAGCAGCGTGACCCAAATGACAGACTGCAA